CCCATTTTTTATGACAACTTATACATTCACCTTCATATATACCATTTCCTTTTTCTTAACCTTGAATAAATTGCCTCTATACACCTGTAAATTGTCTGCCACAATTAATAGAATTGCTTGGTTCTTTTCTTGGTCTCTTGTTCATTATAAAAAAATTTGTTACATGAAAGTTTATTTATATATAAGATTTGCAGAATTACAGAATTACAGATACATTTACATATTACAGAATTGCAGGATTACATATACATTTACATATTACAGAATTACAGAATTACAGATACATTTACATATACAGAATTACAGATACAACTTCTGTAAATCTGATTTACAGACAGCATCATTAGTTTCGACTTTAATTTTATACACACCAACTTTGTGCTGTGGTCTCGGGAGTTCTTCCTCTGAGAATCATATTAAATCAGAGCTGTGGGCCAAGATTTTTTCAAACACTTTCACTCTCCATGATGCAAATTTTGTTCCTGTTTGGGAACTTCATCATCTCATCCCTGGAAATAGTGGTAAAGGTTCAGCAAGGTCAGATTTTGCAGCCATAATCACAAATTGTAATGACTTACAGTTTCCTTTTTTTATTGTTGAATTTGAGAGAGATGGTTTTGAAATACACAAGGATAATATTGTAGTTGTAGCTGAAGCAGCATATGAATTCAATCGTGTATTATCATTGTCACATAATCCATCAGAAGAAGTCAACAGAGCAAGGATCCACATTGGATTGGTTAATAAAACTAATATTCGTTTGAGTACCATCAAGCCTATTTATAAACAAGAAGAGTCTACATTTGTTTATGTTCATGAGGATAATAAACTTTCATATAATCTCAAAACAGAAGATAGTGATACAAATATACAAAATGTTCTAAATTTGGTGACTTATCTAAGGGAAACCATTTGTGCAGATGGTTTGTTTATGCAGACATTATTAAATCAGCAGCCATTTAGATATAATTATATGTTAGAACCGGTGTTGCCTAAACTACCCCTTGAAGCTGTCAAGTCAAGGACTCTCAAAACAAACTTCACACCTCTTGCAAAACAGCAACGAAATATATTTGTTCAAATGGATTAATCAAGCATATAAATGATAATGGTTAAGTGATACAAATGTTGAATTATTTTTT